GATTTCAACCTCTAGACGAACTTTATCTCGTTCGATCGAACCCCAACGATATGATGTAAAAGACAAACCTCGGATGTGGTATCAGTGGTATCAGTGATATCAGTGACATCAGTGGAAGAAGTAGAATAGACAGAAGAGGTATAAGAAAACGTGGATAAGTTCCATGTTACGGAAATTAGTATACACAAAAGTAGTATCCGTCCGTAATACCGTATAAAGTGACATGTCACTAGGTTATAGCGTTTTCGTATCATTTTACCAATAAAACCCGCGTTAAAATCCGATATACAATTCTCAAAGGACGCGAATGTTATATATATGTATATACGAGTCGAACAAAACAATGATTTTGTTAAGAGTTTATTGAACGACTGGAATTCGATGTTAAAATAAAAAGGAAGAGAATGTTGAGGAATTCTCAATGCTGGAATGTCGATGACAGACGAATTAATGATTGACTAATCTTGGACTTGACGTTTGAATGACCCTTAGAAGGTTAGAATCAATTGATGATTCACGTGTTTTAATGCGCAAATAATTTATATAATTTATCTATGGTCGGAAAATGACTATTAATATGGAAGAATTAAGGAAAACCCGTGTGTCTGAAATCATGTGATTTATGTATTTTTTTATTTTATGCAGCGGCACCAATCTAAAACCATTTACAAAGTATGCAACTCATAGCAATTAAGGTTGTGATTTAAATATCAAACATATAAAAGTGGAATTTACTAATTTTGATAAGGAAGGATTTATATATTAACGGAAAGGTTATACGTATAAGGCCTTGTTCATTTCGTATCATGTTTCTGATTGGTAGATTTTACAAAATTTCCGTGCTCGGTTCAATCAAGATTTAATCGAATAATATGATTTTATTATAATTTGATAATTAATTTACTGTATTTAAAAAGAAATATACCGATTTTTTATTACAAATCAAAACCAAACACACGTAAAACAAATTTAACATTTAATCACATATAAACATACTGTAAGTTATTATGTACAGCTTGTACATATAATTACAACTGTAAAAGTTTTAATTTTTAATCGTCCACAAAATTTTTTTTTTTTAATCGTTTGATCAAATTCTTAAAATTAATATGTATCTATTTTAATATATGATTCAAAAAATTTATTTGTTGTATATTGTTTGTTAAAACAAAAAGTCAAAAAAAATAAATAAATAAATAATAATAAAGATTATGTACAAAACTTATCATTGTTTTAAATACATTTCCTCTTTATTAATTCTTTAATAATGAAATAAAATATATAGGTGGAAAAATATAAGAGTATGATTTAATCCTCGTACTAATATGCTGTTTTCAATCTTTACCACGGAAAACGTAGAAAGTTCAGGTAATGACGCATACAAAATTTACGCAATAGCGCAAATCACTGAGAAACAAAAACGTGACTGGTTTTATTTAATAAAATTTATTATTTATTATTATATAGAATTGTTAGCTATCACATAGAAACATTTAATTGAATTGTTTTTTTTTTTTGCTTTTAATGCTTTCAATTTATCATTTTATCCAACATATACTGTATATAAAATGTTCATTAATCATGCTTTATTTAAATCCTCCGACTCTATCACCACAAATTCATCATCCGTTCTTTTACTTGATTTCTCTTGATCCACGAAGGATGGAGACTCGTCTTTAGTATCTTCTATAGAAGGATCGTCGACATCCATACTTTCTTTCGTATTTATGGAATCAGAGGAATTTATTTCGGCCACACCTTCTTCTTTCGTTATATCGTTCTGAGCTTCATCCGCTAGAACGGTTTCTTTAACATCATTTTCTTGTGATATGCTGTATGGTTTTATATTGGCATCCTCAAGATCTTCCAATGCAATTATGGAAGATGGTTGAGTTGTATTGTTTTCAGCATCGGTCACATCAACTTCTGAAACTATTATGGGTGTGCCAACTTTCTCTTCGCTAACATCGTCTACCGCCATACTTTCCTCCTCCTCGGTCACCGTATTATTATCATTTAGATCATCACCCTCTACCTTGGTATTCTTTTCAAAATTTGTATTATTATTATCCTCGCCTTCTATCGTAACCGCCTTAAATTCTTTCCATTGCCTTTCTTTTTCCTCGTCCAATCTATTTAGAATTCCTTGAGCCAATCCCACGATCTCTCTTCTCCTCTCTCTGACGATATCATATCCATTACTATCAATTTCATCTAATTTACTCAAGATCTTCAAAACCGTGTCCTCGTATTCCAAATATTTCTTATTATCCTTCGATATAGGTAATACTTGTGGCGTTTTTTGATCTGTGCTGAATGTCAATATCAATTGACCATTTGAAGGTATCAAATTAGTCAATTGATTTTGTATGTTTCGTAGTTGCAACAGTTTTGAAAGAACTTTTCTGGTTTTATGATTAGCGGTATCGTATCTCAGGAATTTATAGATTTTTCGGGATGCCAGATTTTTATCGAGTGTTGTTTTTGAATTATTTGCTTTGACAGAATCGGAAGGAGTGGTAACTGGGATCGACCGTGATTTTCTTGAGGGTGTGGTCTTCTTTTTTAATTCTTCGCCATTATGGAATTTACGTCCTTGAGGTCCTCGGCTCATCCTCTCAAGGTCAACGTAATTCGGCTGAACATTAAAAAAGGAATCAGGAGTAAACAAAGAGTCGCGTTGACGATGATTATTCAGGAATATGGAGTCATCTTCACTTCTGTCTCGACGATTAGTATTTCTGTTATGATAGGCGCCTTGATTGTAGTTTCTGTGATAGCTACGATTATTGTTGTGAGTGGGAGTCAGAAACGAGTCTGAACACGGGTGGGAGTAGGATGAATATGGATTCGAGTGATAAGAACAAGGAGGCTGGTTATGTTGGCGACACCCTGAGAATTGTGAACGAGGGTAATAACTGCTGGGTATATAATAGTATTCTGGTTCTTCGGGATAGAAAGCAAACATTTTTGGTAACTGACAAGACAATTCTTATACAACTGATAAAATTATTTTTACTGAAAAGCTATTGATTGTTTTTTTTTTTTGGAATTTCTTAAAAAACAAAGCTAAATATTTAGTTATTTTATAGATTTTGACAAGAAACGTTCTACAAATTTCTAGAACTTTTATGATATGCCAGTAATTTCTGGCAATCATTACTAACTGAAGTCAATTTACGTCAATAGGAAAACGCCAATTTCGTCATCAAAAATTTTCGGAAAATATAGTACGTAATAATTCTTTATCGCCCAAAAATAACTTAGAAATTATAAGCAACTTTTAGGTCAATACATTGCCGGAAGTTTCCAAATATTAAAATATGTTTTAATGCATGTTCTCAAACTTTTGCATTGTCTACCTTATAAAGGAATTTACCAAATAGAATTGATATTCCAAAAACGAACTACGCTAATTGAGAATCCCAAATTTTTTGGATCTTACGAAAATATCGTTTATATCAAAACGAGATTCTAGCTAATCCTGTGCAAAATGTGAAATTTCTTCCATCAAAAAAAGGTATCCAAATTTGATAGTTGAGTTTCTGTCTACATGTGGGAGAAGATTTAATTTTTTCGAAAAAAATAAAATAAATAAAATAAAAAAATAAAGATGAAAGCAGTCAATTACATAATTCATTAAAGAATATTAAAAACAATGTATCTGTGTACGCGAACAATTAATATCTACCATTTACCCGAGCCAAATGCCTTTAAGCGCTGCCATATAGTCTCTTTCTTAATCTTGCCCAACGATGTCGACAAGAATCGTCAGATCTATTTTGGATCGTATTTCTTGAAATATGAGTCCAAGGTGGTGATAGATTCTCCAATACCGCGTCAATAAGTAGCTTGTCTTCATCGGGTGTCCATGGAGAAGTTTTAAAGAGAATATTAGATTTCTTTGGAGGAAAATCGCAATGGGTATCGGAGGACGGAGACGCGTTGCAGGATAAAGTAGAATCCGAATCACAAATGGAATTTGAATCTGGAGAGATTTGAATAGACGATGAAGTTGATGACAAGAAATTTGCTTCCTGGGATGCGGCGTTCGAGGGAGAGCATGAAGGATCGATTTTATCGGGTGAAACGGGAACTATGGGCGACGCATATCCACGATTTTCTCCATAGGATAAAGCACGTTTTTTGACAATATTTGAATAATTCCTAGATACCGAGAGTGACGGTTGTCCAACAGGCTTGGGAGTCCAATATTCCTACAATTGTTCACAGGATGTTTCCGTTGAGTCTTCAAGTCACGGCAATGATAAAAAAAGTATAAATAAGAGACAAATACCTCTTCCCCAGTGCAAGGATTAACGACAATCACTGATTCATCATCTGATTCTTTTTCCGAGAGCGCCTCTAATCCTTTATTAGTAACATTGTTCGCCAAAGGGGATTTCGAATAAGGGAAATCATTTCCTTCAGACGCTACCATGATAAATTCATCCTCGGCCTCTTGAGTTTTTGTGGAAGCTTTGAGTGAATCGATAATAAGCCTTCTCTTGACACATGAATCCACTTCACTCCGAGAATCAACGATCGAAGTGATGTCTTTTGAAGATAATGGCCGTCCACTATCATCTTCGTCGGTACAGAATCGTTGCTTTTTAAGCGAATGATTTTCTAATACTTAATAAAATTAAGTCAACATGTTAATGAACATCTGTTTGATGAAGTCGTCGGAATTATTCCGAGGTCAAACCTTTTATACTCGACGAATGATTCACGTATCGTGTCCTTAATGTCTTTTGTTCGGCAACTACCACGGTAGGTACAAATTGTTTGTCGTAATATTCCATAACCTCATCAAAATCTTCGTTGTACTGGTGAATATTTTTGGTATCAGTATCATCAAAAGTTGTGACCCGATTTAGAACACCATATCGGCCATTCAGCACCAGATACT